ACCTTCAAAACGGCCTCCAAATTACTAGATATGCCACCTGAGGTACAAGTAGACATCGATAATTAAGATGGTTGTATTGAAGTTTACTTACGATCCGGAAAAAAAGTGAAATTTTCCGTTCATATCGGAGAGCTCCCCTCGCGATCTTGAACACGTTAAATTTCCGATCGTGTTTAATGTTTGAACGACGCGATTTCTTCTACATGCCCAGCGTACATTCGATGGTCCCCGTATCCCGAGTGCGATTCCGTTACCGAGAGCGCGCGCGATGCATCGATTATGATAATGAGTAGACTGGATCACGTTTGTAAATACATGTGCATTTCAAACGATAATAGGGAGTCGGGAACTAGCGCAGCTTTTATGGCGGGTACCAGTTCAAGATGGTTCCCGATTCCCTTTTACAGTTCGAAATGCACATGTATGTGTTTACAAACGTGACTCATTATCATAATCGATGCATCACGCGCGCTCGGTAACAGCAACTCCGCCTTAATTTTTCAAAATTGTCAGACAGTCCTGCCTCCAAATGCATTCATCCTCAATCCTCCAAAATCCTCCTCATCCCAAAACTTTGCACTCGTGTTTAAATGAAGGATAACCAACGCCAAATCCTTCAAAATCATCAGACAGTCCTGCCTCAAAATGCATTCATCCTCAATCCTCCAAAATCCTCTTGTGCTTCAATCACCATTCATCCTCAATCCTCCAAAATCCTCATGTGCTTCAATCACCATTCATCCTCAATCCTCCAGAATCCTCATTTGATTCAATCACCATTCATCCTCAATCCTCTAGAATCCTCCAAAACCGCCAGGAGGATTTTGGAGGAGTGAGGTGCGTTAGGGTTAATGTAAGTGTATGAAAGTAAGGCTTCTTTAGAAATAGGTAACATGTTTTCACTCACCAAAGTTTTGTTTATTCCCAATTAGTCCGAGTAACTTGGACCAGTAGGTCTAGTACTTGTTATCTATTTGTTAAGTAGGGTCCAAGTTACTCAGACTTCAATCTCATTATTTTATTTTTTTGGAAAGTTCTGCCTGTGACTTTTTCCAGGAGAGTTATTGTTTTGCTCTGTTATTTGCAGACTTTACTGATGATCTCCTGGATATTGTTTCTTCTCATCTGAGAAAGAGAAGCGCAACCTGTTCGACTAACTTTCCAACATAGAACATGCTGAACTGACAGACGCTCACAGTTTGTCTGGGTCTCGTGGGAAGTAGGTCTTCCCTGCTTTAATCTTATTGTGTGGGATTGTGTTTGCTGCAAGTGTTTGGGCCTTGAAGAGAAAGATCTCCATCCAAACCAACCCTGCAAACCTGTCTGCCAAGCTTTCAGCAGTGACGTTTCTGCTCGGCCAAGTAAAAGAAAGATGTCTAAGGGACCGGGCCGGGGTCAGAATCCCCACGGACTCAAACTGACCAGCTTGGACCAGATATGGGATGATCTCAAGGCCGGAATTCAACATGTGTACTCAAAGCATGGCATGCTGAAGAAACGATACATGGAACTTTACACGTATCCTTTTCAGAAGGAAGTTTAAATAGATGGCTTCCTGCAGCTACATTTGTAATGCATGTGATCCTTCCAGTTGTTTTTGTTTGTGAAAAGAAAGTTCAGTGAGGCCAGAAATGAATGTATAATGGAAGAAGAGTAGTGTAATGAAAGCTAGTACTGATTGGCCTAAATGATATACAATAACATATCAAGTAAATATTTAAACCAAGCATACCTCTAGAGTTTCAAAGCGTCACTGAATAAAGTCTGAGAGTATAAAGGTGAAAAAGTTCTTTGTTCCCAACAAATTTAGTAACATGCAAATGCAAACTTAGCCCATTCTCATCTGTTGTACGTACATTGTATTACATTGTATATTTTCCATGGTACATCCATAAAACGGAAGAAATGTTGCAACCTGATGCCACTTCCGCGATTGCTCTCAGTCCCAGATTCATGTCTTATCATCATTTTTGCAATGAATGACCATCATTGAGATGATGTATAAAGAAAAAAGTGGCGTCAGATTGCAACATTTTTCCCCATTAAGCTGTTGAATGCTCAGGTAGTTTGGAGCAGTTCAGGGAGAAATAGGTTAAGACGCGTCTGTTCAATCATGTATTTCAGCAAGAATTACTTTCTGTTGACAACATTATTTAAAGTCTGAAATCCCGAGTTCCTTCTTTAAATTCTCCAAAATCCTCCTCTTTGCACTCAACCATTGATCTGTTCTTTATGTACATCTCCAAAGTCCTCCAAAAAGTCCCGGAGGATTTTTAAGCATCTTGAACGTTTTAGGTTTAGAGACCACAAGGTATTGTTTACTTTATAAATATACCTGCTGTGCTGTTTATTAGTATCAGCCTAAGATCCCATTTTTCAGTTAATCCTTAACCAATGTTCTTCATTAGTCATGTGTACAACTACTGTACCAATGTACACCAGCTGCAGCAGGCACGGAGCTCATCAGCCAAGAGCAAGAAAGGTCCCGCCCAGGGAGGGGCACAGTTCGTAGGTCTGGAGCTCTACAAACGATTGAAAGACTTCCTCAAGACGTATCTGGTCAACCTACTCAAGGTTTGTATCAATTCAAATTGCGACCTCCTGTGTAAAAGAAAACCTTCAAAACAAGGCCGGGCCACCAACATTTCCATGAGGCAAGAATGAGGTCCTGAGTATTTCACCAAGTTTCAGATCTCGAAAATTAATTTCAGATGGTTTTTGTCATACTTTTGAACCAGACAGTGGAGTGTGATGAATGAAACTCTGCATACTCTAGCCTGACACATGTCCAACAAAAAACCAAAAAACAAAAACCCTGAATCGTTTTGTGGTCTGGGGGCAAGAATTACAGAGAATGTATAAAAAATAGAGACTGGTGAACACATGAGTCTTTAGACACAGTTTACTTGTGTGGAGGGGAATCTCACATGCAGTGTCAAATTCCTTCAACCTCTTAGAATGTACTCATCGTACAAAATTTGACTGATCATATTTTAATCGACCAAGTATGTACAGTAGATGGTGGAAAAAATATATGTAACCATGATTTCATACTGCTTACATACTGGTACAACTACAAAGTGTTGTTTCATGTGCAATATTTGCTGGACCCGAATATCAATCATATTATCCTCAGACTGGCCGAGTCACTGACTGACAGACTGAATGACTAACAGACAGACAGACAGACAGACTGAGTATAATTAAAGTTGTACACTTTGACTCTCAGGTCTATCTCAACTCGGCAAACCTAGCTTTGTTTTTGAAGTTCATCAGTGACCCTCCTCACTAGTCTCTAACCATTTTATTTCAGGATGGTTCTGATCTGATGGATGAGAGTGTTCTGACTTTCTACACGAAGCAATGGGAGGACTACCAATTCTCCAGCAAGGTCCTGGATGGTGTGTGCGCTTACCTCAACAGACACTGGGTGCGAAGGGAATGTGATGAGGGACGCAAGGGCATCTATGAGATATACTCGGTGAGTCAATCATGTTGCAAATTGAGTCGTAATGAAGTCATTCACAACTCAGTCGCACATAACAGGTGATCAGCACAATGACAAAGTAATGCCTTACAGTCGTAGATTATGTTAGCTTCTCATGAACTTGTTACTGGATGACTTTTGCTTGACCTTAGCTTCAGTTTTAATTGACTTGTGATTATATGATTAAACCCTTTGGTCACTGTAGCGCCCGAAACCACCTTGCCTATTACTCACTGTTGTGCCCGAAACCACCTTGCCTATTACTCACTGTTGCGCCCGAAACCGATTCTTTAGGGAATAAACACAATTTAATACAATGTAGTACAAGTGTTAATGGTTAATTGTGATTGACTTGTGATCGACCTCTGATAACTTTTTTCTAACTTAGCCAGTTTGTAAGTTTCTTTCATGTTATAGTGGATTGAAAATGTAAAATATTTGGATGGTATTATAGACGTTTCTTTAATTTTCCTTCCAGCTTGCTCTTGTGACCTGGAGAGAGCACTTATTCCGACCACTCAACAAACAGGTGTGTTCCTATGAGGAATCCTTGAAATATGTAATTGCTACCTGTAAACAGTGGATTA